GGAGGACAGGATCCTCCCATGTCCCATGGTTAGTGCTCATGGGAAAGGGATGATTTTACCCTTGGTTTCTCCCAGATCAGCTGATTCCTTAGCTGGCACAGCACTCTGAGGACATAGAAGGCAGTCAGAAGTTTGAATCTGAAGCTCCTAGCATGTCCTTGTTGACTCTCAGGAAGCAGGTGGCATCACTGCCTCGGAAAGTGATCCCTGCAGGTATGCAGGCTGGGTGACGCTTTCACTCACTGGTGTGGTTGCCTCCTGGGATATTTTTCACCTCAAGTCACAGGAGGTGTGGACTCATAAGATTAGGTGAGATACTTGACTTTCCCTTAAAAAAACCATCTTGAGCTCTCCTTGGCAGTTGTATCTGTAGAGCCACACTTTCTAGCCTTTCCTGCTCTGTAGGTCCTAGAGTTATTCTATGCAAGGTACAGACTACTTCAGAGCATGGTGAGCACCCCCAGCATGGTCTTGCTCCTCAGATGTACCTGCTCTTGCCACTCCATGAGTAGTCCAGGAACTCCTGAAGATCACAGCTCAGCAGTGTCAGCCCTGCAGAAGGAAAGACAAGCTCAGCAAGCTGCAAGAGGAATGCGCCCTCCGGGTATGGATACCAAACCAACCCCCCACACAGCAAAATCAACTGCTTTCTGGTACCTGAAACTTCCTCTAATTTATGAGCACTGTTGCCAGTTGCCAAAAGAAGGCTTCTTATCTGCACTGTACTTCAGGTTCATGGCTGCTGTGTAAGTGCAGAGCAATTTGCTCTTCCCTTTCCCCCCAACCTCTCTGCAGGCCTCCTGGTGAAGGCRCAGCCATCTCTGCCCAGCCCTTGGTCCCTGCAGGAGATGTTTTGCCACGTAGGGAGACCTCCCACAGCCAGGCCATAAAGGACTGTGCAAGGCTGTGGGGAGAATGCTCAGTGGTGAGATCCAAAGAGCAGGATCCTACCTCCTGYAATCAGCATAGTCTTTGCCTTCTGCACCATCTGGATGCCCATCTACTTCATTTCTCTGGCCTCTATTTATGGGTAGGAAAGTGGACTTTTTTTTCCTCCTGCCTAGCTGCCTTGAAGGTGAAAGAGCATTTCYGGGGGACCTAGCCGCTCCGTGTGTTCATTGGGAAAGTGCCAAGGGCCCTTGAAAGCCAAGCACCTAAAAATAAGTTAGGCTTGGTCACCCAATGATGTTTTTCAGGACTTGGTGACTCAGTTGTATTTGGATTTTTACTCAAATAAGGATACCAAGTGGCGGATCTAATCTGGGCACCAACTGAGCATATCTACAAACATAGTACTAGACTTTTCATCCTTTCCAGAATCACCAGATCCTCTCTGAAAAAAAAAAAAAAAAAAAAAAAAAAAAAAAACAAAAAAAAAAAAAAAAAAAAAAAAAGGCAGGCTCAAACTCCATATTTGGGAAAGAAGCACAGGGAAACAGCATAGAAGATAAGGCACCAGTCTGGATTGTTCTGAAAGAAACACAGAGTCACGGAGACTCAACCTGAAGTCACAGGGACTCAACTGGAATGGGCAACATTACCATGGACCTCTCTTCAACCGCCGATCAAACCCGAGGTGAATCCTGGAGGTGCCAGCTGGTTCTGGCCTTGTGCTGGTCTGAGTGTCTTTCTCCTGAGGGCACTAATAGATCTTGACTGTGTTGAGCAGTCCCYGGTATCTAAGACCAGGGAGATGTCCCAATGCAGATACTACAGTGCCACTTGCCGGACAGGCCTTGGTATCTCAGGTCCTTGCTGGAAAGCCAGACAGCTCTTATATGTTGTTATTCCCTGTTAAAAATTGCAAGCATCACCCCASTACCACCACCACCATCATCACTGTTCAGTTTAAACACATTTTATATAAGCCTTCAGAGGCTGTGGTGTGCATGGCCCTGGGAGAAGCAGCAACCAAGGCTTGATGCCTACTAGGTGTTGACTACTATTACCTTTTGTACGTAAAGAGAAAATTTTCTTTACATACATGAGGGAAAAATATGCTAAACCCATTCTTCTGAGCCCTCACTGAGTCCTCTTGAAAAGTAGAGTGCAGGGGAAAAGTAGAGGTGAGAGCTGCTGTTAAACCTAGCAGGATTTGACCTGCTGCTCTCAGACATGAGTCATACTTGAGGCTGCATCCTGCCCTTCATTCCTGACACAGGAGGGGGTGAGCTCCTGCAAGCACACAAGGCAGACTGAAACGTTAGAGGATCTCTTGTGCTTACTCTGGAGAGCCCCCATAAAGGCTGGACCAGTTGCTGGAGCAAGACTGTGCTGCCTGATTGCTAGCCCAGATGTTCTGTCTGATTGCTAGTACAGATGTGCTTGTTCTTCTCCCCATCATCCCAGGATGCAGCCTAGAGTATGACCTCTGGCACCTCCAAGTGCAGTTTTATTTTAGCACCTTGAGTATTCGGACCACAGCTTCACAAGAAGGAAAAGGGATGGGAGCTTGCCCAGCTGGGCCATGCACTCACCCAGGGAGGAGGTCTGCTAGACATCTTGGCCTCCTCTTCACGGGAAACTGTGCTCTGCTGCATTGCCGTCCAGAGCTGGGGGTGGTTGACTTCTGAATGGAAAGCATGTCCTCAGTCAACCTTTGGCACGATCCTTCTGCCCTCTGCCAATCCCTGCGGCAGTAAACTGGGAGCTGAGGAACAGGCCAGGCGCCAGAAATCTAGTTGGGTTCACATGCAATAAACTCAGTGAGGGAAAACCRTACAGATGTCTGGGATAAATATTTTGGGGAAGAGCAAGATGCACGCTCAGCTGCTGGCCTTTCTTTTGCACATTGTGCAATGAGGTGCGCATGGAAGCGAGGTCCCAGTAGACAAACATCCCTTTCCCCTGGGAACTTGTTGCCTTGCTGGAAMTTCAGCCAGGCTTGGTCTCGGGGAGACGGATTGGGACCGACTCTGTGCAGCAAAAATTCTTACCTCCTTCTCCGAGTTAGYGCAACTGCAACAACTGTATTGTCCAGGGACGCACCACACTGTACCRTGCAGACATAACTCTTGGAGGCTGTGGATAACAACTCCGACGCATCCTACCTGCTCAGCAAGGAGCTGAGCTCTTCTCACCTGTCATCTGGCATGGATGTCTGAGGAGGACACACAAGGAGGCCTTCTGCCATAGCTGGCATTGCGTTCCTGTTTCTCAGCCCTGATGCGAGGGTTATAAGAGCGTCTAAGCTTGCCCTCTTGTGGCAGACGCACACACGAGCAGGCCACGATCCACCTGCCCGGAGGATAAAAGGCCCTGGAGTCAATGGCTATGTCTGCTCCTGCAGCAGGTCTCCCTGCCTGTCCTCTACAGACAGGGCATTTCATCTGTTCACTAGTCCTCCTGGATGGCAGGTTAATCTGCATGGAAAAGGCAAGGAGGGATCTAATAGCAGAGAAGAAAGACGAGTCTCTGCAGGAACCAAATGAGAAGCTACAGACACAAGATGCACCAGGAGAAATGCTGGATGGATTTGGAGCGGCAGTGTGTGGGGCAGGGCTTGGAGCAGTAGTCTTCTGAGGTGCCTTTTCACCCAAATCTCTGTGAGTTTTTGATTTTAATACTGTTTTTGTGTGTGCGTACATTGAGATTGTTCATAAGTCTCTTCTCAGTCACCCTTTAGCAATTTAATTTCCTCTACCTCTTATTTCTAAACCCTTTATGCTGTTCTTTTGCATTTCAGTAATCTGCATCTCCTCAAAATTACAGCGCCAGAAGCTGGCCTAAGCGTCCTTCCCTGTGAGCTGAGAAGATGAATAGCACCATGAAGCTGTTCACAGTGAGATGTGCCACGTATATTCCAGCATGACACAGGCCTCCATCACCAGATTGCTTCATGCTTCAGCTGCAATCCAAGATAGCCCAGATGCTACTTTGCAGCATATGCCCCTCCACGAGCCGTTCTCTTGGGCTAGCCATAACCCAGAACTGCTCTTGGGCATAGCAGAAGTGTGGACAAGGTGCAACCACACTCGAGGGGCAAGAGGGAAGAGTTAAAAGAAAACAGAGATGCACCTGTACTTYAGCCGATATATATAAATCTATATTTTTGAGGTAAACACAAAACTGAAACAACAGAAGGAAATATTATCACCAAAGAAACCACTGAAAACAAGGATGCCCCTAGATTTGTGACTAGAGGACTGTTAATGCCTTTTTWAAAAAGAGGCCTGCAGATGCATAGAAGAGCTTGTAAAAGACCTGCACATGCAAACTATCTCAGAAGTCCCTACGCTTCTTTTTTRCTTGCACATCTATGTGAAAAAAGTGTTTTGAACCAGCCGCAGGTGATGGTCCTATTGCARCTCTGTACTGGGATGCAGAAGACTTCAGCAGGCAGACCTCAACACTGTCGGTCAGGCGAGTGCTAGAGATCGTCTTCATCAGCTGGAGTAAACGGGTGGCCAGAGGTGACCAGGTCAGCTTGCTTTTATTTGCAGCCTGCATTTTTGGTCAGCCAGAGTACATGGTGGGTACAGATGAAACCTTCAATGGCTTCTCATCTCCCAGCACATCACTGTGCTTTCCAGGCAGCATGCAACTGTTAGAAATTACGTCAAGGCTGCAACAGGCAAAGTTCATCAAGTGAGCTCATTTTGAATGGAGCTACCTACTAAATTGATGTCTGCTCCCAGGCTGAATCAGCAGAGAAGAGTATTTGGGAACTGAAGTCCTAAAGGACTTTGAAAAAGGCCTTTGCTTTGAAAAGGTATTTGCAAGAAAGAAAAATCATCGCGCTGAGGAAAACCCTGCTCCTYGGCTTCAGCCATTTTTGGACACACAATCAAAAGACCACATGTTACCTTGTTTTAAGCCCAGTTTCCTAGGAGTCCAGAGCTGTCCTGCTCTCGGAAACCCTCCAAGTTGCATTCCTGGTCCTGTCTGCCTTACCACCAATGTCCTTTTGTACCACCAAAGTGGCAGCACAGCTGAGTTAAGTCCTCATTTCCTACTCAAGACGTATGTGCACTGGAGAATCCAGATCCCTGCAGCAGAGCTCACCAATGTATGCTGTAAGAGAGCTCGTTGTCTTCACTCCAGTGCTTGCCTGTCCTCCTCCTCCTGTTTCGCTCTGCCATCACGATGGCAGCCACAACGCTGACAAGCGCCGTGATGGTGATGATGAGCACTGTTGCCATCTCTGCAGCACAGAGCTGGGTGTCCACCGAGGCCAGTGGGATGTTCCTCAGCACTGCTGGCTCAGTACACGTTATGTTCTCATAGCGGTCCAGGACTAGCCGCCGGACACTATGCAGCTTGGAAAAGACCCTCTGTAGGTCACAGTCACAGAACCAAGGGTTGTCAGAAAGCAGGATGTGTGTCCCAGCAGTCTGGAGGGTTAGGAAGGTTTTGAATCTGATACGTTCAATGCAGTTATGCTCTAGGTTCAGGATGGTGAGGCTACTCAATGGCGTGAAGACACCAGGGCCAATTTTTTTGATCCTGTTGCCTTCCAAGTTCAGAATCTCCAAATGCTGCAGCATGGAAAAAACCCCATCGTGAAGGCTGAGGAGCTGGTTGTTCTGTAGGTGAAGTTGCCGCAGGCGGGTTAAGCTTCGAAAGGCCCCAGGTTCGATGGAGGAGATGTTGTTGTTTTGGATGTTGAGTTTCTGCAGGTTCTCAAAATTTTGAAAGCTCCTGAAACGAGCTGCTTGGATCCTGTTGTGGGACAATGAGAGCTCGAGGAGAGAGCTCAGCCCAGCTGAAAAACTGCTTCCTAGCACTGTGATCATGTTCCCACTGATATCGAGCTTCTGGAGTCTCTCCAAGGATTGAAATGCTCCCCTTTCTACCTCAGCAATGTCATTCCCGCATAGAAGGAGAACTTGGAGCTTCCACAGGGATCTCAGTGCCAGGCTGGGCATGGCATGCAAGCCACTGTTAGACAAATCCAAGTGCTCTGTCTCTAGCGGAAAGATGAGGCTTCCACTCAGACTGACTCCAGAACAGTTCACAAATCTTGCCTCCTCTTTGCAAAGGCAGACTTTGGGGCAGGGCTGAGGAAATTCAGCGCTTGCGAAAAGAACACAAATCCAGAATAAGCAGTGGGTGTGCATCTTCTGTTTCATCTTGGGCAGTCAGCTCTTCCTGCAAAATAATTAAGGAATGATGAGAAACGCAGAGCTACATGTCTGGTAGCCTTTTGAGCTTGTTTTCCTGTTTTTTTTTTTTTTGTTAACTGGAAACAACGTTTGYGTTGGCACTGTCGTTTCTTGCACCAAGAGCCCAGGGATTTTTGGTGTCGCGACTGGACGTGTTTCTCCATAGCCATGCTGCTGAAYGGCCTCCCAGCCTAAAGCACCTTCCCCCTAGCTGACAGGGATAGGAGTGTTGCTAACGCAGATCATTTTCTGATCCATCCTGCAACGCCACCTCACAAGCCATCTTACCCTCATAGCTAAGAGGTGCCAATCGCACCCCAGGGAAAGGCCTGTGAACCGGCTTTATAGCCATGCACAGGCARCAGCTTGGTTTACAGTGTCAGCTTTCAAGCTGGGGCCAACCTCACTGCTACGCTAACACTTCCTCTCATCACTCACCTCAGGGCCATCTCCATCCCACCAGGAACACTGTGCACCAGCTGACCTCCAACTGCTTCTGCTCCCTGGAAGATATGTTCATCAACACCTGGCAAAGGCATAAAAGACATGCTAAATTTTTAATGAACGTGTGCCCGGGAGTTGCACTTGCTGTGATCTGCCCAAACCCAGGCGGTTCCACTGCGCAACACAACAACCGCACATTTGCTTATAACATAACACTTCTGTTGTGGGGCCAAGGCTGTCTGTGGTTTCACCCAAGACATTGGGATTTTCCTCTCTCGGTTCTGCTTTGGTGCTTATCTGTCCATACAGCTTTCAAGCTTTCAAGAAATGTGGGAGAAACCTTGAGCGATGTCAGTGAATTGACAGTGTACAGAGGAACAGGGCGTGCTCAACCTAAGGGCTTCCCTGACTGCCACCGTGAGCTGTCAAATGCAAAGGAGACAGAGCTGGATTCACCTGCACAGTGATGAGACCAGATCCAACAAGGGAAATACAAACAGGGGGCAAGGAAACTCTCCTCGCCTCTGAGGGGGCCATCCTGGGATAGAATGCAGAGAACTGAGGGAACTCTGGCCTCTGAGACGTCCTAGTCTCATCCAGCAGCAGCTCTGAGTACTTGTTCCCAGCTTTGAAATGTCCTTGYTTGGGACGTAGTTTGAACAGAGACCTCTGGCAGTGCCCCCTGCCCCACGCTGGTTGCAGTTCACAGAGAAGGATGCTTTGAGGGTTTGAGCTTCTCCCTGACAGGGAACTAGAGGGGTTGTTCTACGCTGCACAAGAATACGACTACAGAGACAATTTTTCTGCCCTCACCCCTCCATCTCTAATTTCCATATTCTCCAGAAAAAAAAATAAAAGAAAATAAACTTACACTTCCCCTATTTCCTTATTAGGGAGACTAAAAATAAAGAGACATGTAAGAAAGGTCAGTTATCTTCATCATTAAGCAAAATCCTTCTTCATCAAATCCTGAAGCAGAAATATCTTAGCAGCTACTTTCTCAGGTTCACTACTTTTCCAAATCTTTGGAGCAAACCCTCCCTTACCTTCACATTATCTCTTTGCATTCATCATGATAGGGATCAATTATAATGGCTATAATGGATCCTGTTTCAAAGTACCTCTGTATTACAAAATGAAAAAAAAAAAAAAAAAAAAAAAAAAAAAAAAAAAAAAACCAGACTTTTTTTCCTCTCTCTAAGCAGTAGGATGAGAAAGAGGCATGAAAATCTGTAGGTTCAGAGCACAGGCTTACTGAGGCTGTTGCTGGCTTTGTGCTGGCTACAGTAGTGCCCTGTACTCTTGAAGAAAAGTCTCAAACAGCTAGAAGTGTTAGCCTCAGGCTTGTTTGCCTCTCAGCATACTTTACAGGAGACAAAACAGCCCCAACTGATCTATGCAAGCCATGCTACTCCCCAGACCACTCCAAGATTTGATCAAAATTGATCCTTAGGCAAAAAACAATATTAAGCATCGTTTTAGCTGCCCATGCAAAAATCTCTCCCCTTTACAGAATTGCCTCCCTTTACTTCTTCCATAACTACGTGCTGGAAATTCAAAGTGTCTTTTACCTGTCTTGTGGCTTTACCTGTCTTGCGGAGTCTCTCGCTCGGTTCCTTCTGCCTTCCTCTGTGGACATCCATCCATAGCCAAGAGCAAGCTGGAAAGCCTCAGGTGGAAGCACTAGGCACACCTGGGGCCCGGGCAGGTTTGCATCTGCAGAAAGAGTAGAGGAYGGTGAGAGAAGGGACATGTTAATAATTCAGGTAGCTGGAGGTAGCAAAGCAGCAAAGGGATGCCCGCCACCCGCCTCTCTCTGAAAAAAGCTGTCATCATCTCCCCACACAGCTGAAATACATAAACAGAAGCACAAAGCACCCGACAGCAAGGTCGCAACATTCTCTCCCAGTCTGGGAAGTACAAGCGAGTCCCGAGCCACAGTCTAACTGCAGCATAGAGCCTTAATATCCCTTCAGAACTAAGATGCTGTCTGCACCAAGARGAAAATGAACCTTCATGCCCAGCAGGAAAAAACCCACCTCTCTCCCCTCCTGTTGACTGGGACTGCTGACGGGTTACAGCTTGGTGAGCACTTCCATCAACTCCTTCAGAATCCTCAAGTGGATTCCATCTGGCTCCATAGACTTGCGAGTGGCCAAGTGGAGTAGTAGGTCCCTGACTCCTTCCTCTTGGATTCCGGGAGGCTTATTCTGCTTTCCATAGGTGTCTTCCAGCTCAGGGGGCCAAGTCTTCGAGGATAACTGAGCTGGGTGTTAAAGACTGAGGTGAAGAAGGCACAGAGTACCTCAGCCTTATCCTCATCCTTGGTGACAAGTTCCCTGACGCAGCCAATAAAGGATGAAGATTCTCCTTGGTCCTTCTCTTCTTAATGTGTTTGTAGGAACTTTTTTATTGTCTTGTACAGCTGTGGCCAGATTGAATTCCATCTGAGCTTTCAACTTTCTAGTTTCCTCTCTACATATTCTAGTGACATCCTTATACTCTTGCTGAGTTTCTTGCCCCTTCTTCCCAAGCCAGTAAACTCTTTTTTATGCCCTTCAGAGTCTCGGGGACAGTTCCCTATTTAGCTAGGTCAGTCTTCTTCCCCAGTGCCTCGTCTTCTGGTGCACGGGGACAGCCCGCTCCTGCGTCGTTAAGATTTCTTCTTTGAGAAGAGTCCAGCCTTCCTTCACTCCTTGCTCCCCCAACCTTGGCATGACAAACCAGACTCATCCCTACTGATCCCAGTGTTATCTCCCTCCCCTTTCATACCTAGCTTAAAGCACACTCTGGGGCAAGGATTCTTTGTCCGCTGAAAGACCAGTGAACCCCATGGGTCACCAAATGGTGTCATTTGACCATTGATGCCAGTCTCTCAAGCCATCTGTTAGAGCAGGTGTCCCATCTTGTTCCTCTCAGTGTCCTTCTCTAGCACTGAGAGCACAGAGCAGAKCACCTGCACGCCCGCTCCCTCAACTCATCTCCCCAGTGCCATGAAGTCCCTTTTCACGGACTTCAGGCTTCTCTTCGCAACTTCATCACCTCCAATCTGGAAGCAACTGGCCACCCCTGCACTCTGCTCCAGGAGCTCTCTCCAGCCCTGACCCTTGTGGAAGGGGAAAGCAGGGGAGATGCTTTAAGTGCTGCAAGGGGCAGGGATGAGGCTGTGGCGACCACAGGCTGCCACAGAGAGCACATGCCCGACCCCTCTTGCCAGGGGAACCCAACTCCTTCACAAGCTGCGATTTCTACTGCTTCGTTCACCAAAAAAAAGACACGACACACAGTGAGGACACAAGGCAGCTTCTTTGGGGACCCCGGCGCGCAGAACATTAACGTGGGGCCGAGCGCCAGCAGCAAAGGTTGATTTCCCGCAGAGGACACTGCCACCTCTCCCATGCTCTCCTCAGGCGACTGCACAAGCCGTTGCGGGAGCGAGTCTCCTTCCTTGGTGGTCTCAAGAGGAGGATCATTTGCATGGCCAACGAAGAGATGGTCGGACTCCTGTCCTCGTGCTGTAGACCTTGCAGGGCTGAGAGGGAAGGAGCAGAGCTGAGGTCAAGTCYCCCTATCTCACCAGGCCCCAGGAAATCCCCTCCTGACATGGCCAGTGCCACCCAGCTCTTCCCAGAGCCAGGAGGCAGTCGGGGGAGCAGCTGGCAGGACTGTCCCCGAGGGGCCTGAAATCTCTCCCTACTCTACCC